TCATTCATTCACTGATTCATCATCGCCCAGAGCAAACCGCTTAACCTAAAGAGGTGAAATTTGGTACACAGTTAGGGTACGTCATGAAAACGCACACTAAGAAGGGATTTTTCGAAATTCCCCCGCGGGGGGTGAGGGAGAGCATTAAGGCTTAACCGGAAAAACGGCTTCTACTGTACTATTTTAGATACGATTTTTTGTTTTCAACTACGTTTAGTCTTTATTGAGTACTTAGGTGTATTAAATTGATAACATTTTAGACATTGTTATAAATATTTTTATCTATTTCGATTTTAAAAATGTTCGATCCGTTTTAAATTCAAATTTGTTACTGCATATTGGTTCGATTATAGAACGATTGTAAACGTTCCAGAAAATTGATCAAATTGAAGATAGTTCGTTTGATTCTTGGCAATTCTCTTCAGCAGTAGGTGTTATATGACAATTACTATGGTTCTTGAAATATTGAATGTAAATGGGGTTTGCTTGCAAAACCTCCGCGGACGAAGTTGCGGGTAACAGCTAGTTTTCAATAAAATGATTACAAAGGTATTGAATAATTGATAATTTTAATTACACACGAATGTACAATAACTTTAATACATTTATGTGAAAAGCATTATAGTGTGATCATCACTACTTTTTGCAGCGCTCCACTTGAAAATCACTGCATTAAGTTATTAGATTCGTCAGGGCATGCTGTTCGTTTCGTTAGTTTGATGTGTCAGTAGATTTTTCGAACTACCGGTAGCTTAAAAGTCACAAGCTTCTAGAGAACTGAATGGCTCATCCCTCTGATTGGTTGCATTTTGTGGATCATAGCCAAGGAGCTTATAAATATTTATTTATTTAACATATCTGAAAATATATTTTATATTACTGTATGAATCATACAAAAGTTATTTTAAAATAAATAAATTAAACATTATAATAAGTAACACTGCATTCTTAATACAGAATAATTGATTAAATATTTGATAATTGTTACACAACTTCATTGCCAATTCAAAGAAGTTGACATATATAATATTCCCTGTCTTTTTTGCACTATGTCAGTATTTTTTAATTCTTTCTAATAGTGGCACGTCCAACTTTATAATTTTTTTTATTGCAGCACCCCATTTCTTCATAAACTTTAATACCTTAATAATATGCATTATAAATACATATAAAATTGAATCATCAAACATCTGATGCTGAGAAACGTTTATTTTTCATTTACAATTGGTTTGAATTGTGTACAGTACTATATCTAAATATATAAAATTGCTTGTCCTGACTGACTGAATGACTCACTGACTGATTCATCATCGCCCAGAGCAAACCGCTTAACCTAAAGAGGTGAAATTTGGTACACAGTTAGGGTACGTCATGGAAACGCACACTAAGAAGGGATTTTTCGAAATTCTCCCGCGGGGGGAGAGGTAGAGCATTAAGGTTTAACCGGAAAAACGGCTTCTACTGTACTATTTTAGATACGATTTTTTGTTTTCAACTACGTTTAGTCTTTATTGAGTACTTAGGTGTATTAAATTGATAACATTTTAGACATTGTTATAAATATTTTTATCTATTTCGATTTTAAAAATGTTCGATCCGTTTTAAATTCAAATTTGTTACTGCATATTGGTTCNGCAAGCTAAGCATGCGAAAGCTACCACAAAAATAACGAAAGGGCGGAGCAAACGTGTGTTTCATCACGTGACATGCGACCTTGAAACCTCTCTATACTAGTTCTGACCTTATAAATTTAAAGTAATAACTAATGTTACATTCTCTTCAGCAACTGATGAATCATCCTGCGACCAACAATGGCAAAGTAACTAAAATCATTGAACATTAGTCGTTGGCTCGTACTTAGCCAACGGGCAGACCACATGGACTTTTCCTGGTTTTATTCACATTTGTAACCCTTGTATGGGAATTCTCGCATATAAAGTCTTTCAGGAAGGCATCGTTTCGGCAGATTGCCCGCAGGTTCTTTCCGTATAAAATAAATCATCTTGCTTGGTAATTTTTTNAAGGGGCGGAGCAAACGTGTGTTTCATCACGTGACATGCGACCTCTCTATACTAGTTCTGACCTTATAAATTTAAAGTAATAACTAATGTTACATTTTCTTCAGCAACTGATGAATCATCCTGCGACCAACAATGGCAAAGTAACTAAAATCATTGAACATTAGTCGTTGGCTCGTACTTTGCCAACGGGCAGACCACATGGACTTTTCCTGGTTTTATTCACATTTGTAACCCTTGTATGGGAATTCTCGCATATAAAGTCTTTCAGGAAGGCATCGTTTCGGCAGATTGCCCGCAGGTTCTTTCCGTATAAAATAAATCATCTTGCTTGGTAATTTTTTCTCAATTTAAATTTTCAGTCTCATTTGTATAATAATTTGTATAATTCGTTAAATTCTAATGTTTTTCCTTTGTCTAATATGAAATTTGTTTAATTAATTTTTTTCGCTTATTCTCTCTATCTAGGTGAAAAGATTAAACTTCAACATTCCATAGAAACACTTAATTTTTTTACAACAGCATAATTTTATTAATGCTAGTAAAATAATAATTCAAAAACTATGTTTTAACAAGAAATATACTTTATTTAAATACTTCTTTAACTTGTTCATAAGAATTTATCATACAAAATTATATTCGAGTAACATTTCTCTAATATTTGCTGACAATTATTAATTTTTTATTAATGAAACATCTTTGTGTTTTATGATAGTACTATAGTTCATTTACTTTTCCCTTTTCGAACTATCGTATAATAAATAATTTTTACCAGTCAACAACATGTTAAGATTACATTTAAGTTACTAACTACACAAGTCTAATTCTCTTAAATTATATCATAGTGTTTAATAAAAAATGAACAAATTCTAACGAATAATGCAATTGTTTTTATTATAATAAATATAAAGCATAAAGACACTGAAATATACTAATATAGATCGTTTTCATCTTCACTGCTACCATCTGCTATCACTAAACTTAACTATTTCGTGGATGATTTTACGTTATTGTGACTTGTACTTGTGTATGTGTGTATGTTCAGTAGAACGTCGATTATCCGAATCAATTGAGGACTGGGGTTGTTCGGATAACTTATTTTCGGATAACCGATTATGTACGAAAAAATATATTAACCTATCCCATGTTGAAATTTTTCTCCGTTGCGTGTCGCTTCACGTTCAATTTTCGTCGATGTTAAACCTAACATAAACTTTTAAAAATAATAATCGTGGCTATTGTATCGTTAAAAATTATCTCTTTATTTTTTACAAACGAAATAAATATATTGAAAAATATAAAAACAAAAAAATTATACTGTAAAAGTTAATCTAGTATCAAATACGTTCGATTCAGCGCGATACGTAGTCCTCAGAAAAACACCATACAAAAGGCCAGTGCTACCAGCTAAAACACATACATTCATCAAAAGATATTGGAGTAGCCCAAGATAGAGCCAAAGATTGCAGCGCGACAGCACTAGCGAAAATTTAAATTTGCCGACTGGAATTCTTTCGGATAACCGACGCTCTACTGTATATCCACAAGCACAAAATAAAATAAAGTAAAATTAAACAAGTGTAAGGTATAAGTGTATCCAAAAAGATTTTCAAAATTATTACGTAAAAAGAAAGTATTAATTATTGTAAAAAACACAATCAACAGCTACAAAGATAAATGTTAACACATATAAAAATAACTAATTAAAGTTAGAAAAACTTAACGACGTGATGGGTGAAACTACTGATGATAATAGATGACAAACGGATTTTTCGCACACCCGTAAGAAATAACGATTGAACGTAAAAGACTGGGCTGCTTCATTCTAGAGCAAATTGCAAAACTTCAGCTGAAGCAGATTTGCAGAACTGAGTCAACAAAAACAATAGCAGCAATTAGTTTGCGTGCTGCTCTATTACATATGTCATTCGACCTGCCTGATGTACCATCGATTGCAAATTTGGTCTGCATGCTTCCCCCGCATATGAAGTCTTTGCTCAGTGTGATACAACTCGGTTTTAAGATCATAAGATTATAATCTTGATGTAAATCCGTTTATGTAATCCAAAAACACACTTTGGTAGACGTATCTCATAGCAATTTCTGGTTAGAAAATTGTTTTATTTACCGGAAATTGCAGTGAGATACGTCTACCAAAGTGTGTTTTTGGACTACAGAGACGGATTTACATTGAAATATACCACATAGCAAGCCGGTTATATATTGTAATCTTGATCAGATATTTTCATTTAATTTTTCTAAATATGGAAGGCTGTGATAAGGATATACATGGCAATTCAAAAAAAAAAAAAAAAAACTGTACTATTTCGACAAAAGTTAGTATAAGTGATTTAAGCAAAAAGGCTATTAAACACCTGTTTGATTCATAACAGTTAATCAAATATATTTAAAACGTACAGTACATAAAATACTACTAGGAATAAAGAATAGAAATATCATACGATACCGACCTATGCTTACTGTAGTATTAGAAATGTGCTGCAGTGTAAAATGTGTCACATGTGATAACGTGTTCAAAAATGCCACAAACCTATTATTTCACCTGTCAGAACAGTTCGACGTGTTGCTTTTATGATTTTCGCATTCAAGCATAACACGTCCAACACGTTAAATTACATAAGATTACAAAAACAAAATTAACATCAATTTACTGTATTTTGACACTTGATAACCCGCTAATTCAGTTTCACATCAAGAATTTTTCGGCGACTTTTTAATTCGCGGTTTTTATATTCGGGTTCCAAAACTATAAGTTAACGCTAATTTTTAAACTTAATAAAAGGCTACTTTCTGGAGATTTTACTTTTTTAGTTTTCACGCTGTATAATTAACAGTCGACGATTGCGCTGTTAAAAGCGTGCAGTTTCTTTTCGTGTTTGTCAAAATATCACGGATACTTAAGAGCATGTTGTACATGGTATAGAAGTTATTGTACACCTGTAAAACATGCATGTTAATACTTTGATATTATGATAACTTACAATAGAATATAAAAACTTGCCTGCACAGGACTCTCCTTTGAAAGAATGAAACAACCTCCACAACTAATTCCGATTTTATTTTCACGGAATTTTTTCATAAAATCCAATAACTGTAAACGAAAAGTTACATGATTAAACTACGTCATACGATAACATAATTTCATAAATTTTCAATAATAATTTTCTTAAAAACTAACTTTTAGTTTGTCGTGTAATCGACGACTCGCAGCACCCAATCTTCTCACCTCCTGAAACGAATCGTAAGCCTACAAAAATACATTAAAAAATAAAAATTTCATATGTAAGAATCATCCTGGTCATTGAAGATTTCAGTTTTACTTACTGATGCAAAAAAACGAGAGCATGCAAAAGCTCCTATAACCAGAAGAAACATGCAAAATGTGGCAGCAATGAACATGATGGCATGAAAATAGCTAGGAAGTTCGGTGAAAATCGCATTGTAAGTTAATATGGCTGCCAAATATATAATAATACCGTAAAGGAGCATGATATATTCGTTCCATTTGCTATTGAACTGATGTATGTAATCGCACAGCTCGACATGTTTGGCAATCAAGTTATCGATTTGACTCTTTGGCCAATTTGCCGTGGCACGCTGTAACTGATTTGATATAGCATTAAATCTTCCGATTATTGCAATGCCTATTAGAATTGCTACTATGAAACACCATAACCATAGAGCAATTTCGTATTGAAAGCAGAGATAGAGGTACACCGTACATACCAGAGCTCTGGTATAGCTCGATTGTATTTCAATATTCACGCAAATGGCAGCCATAGTAAGTAAAGAGAAAACAGATATTATTAAGTAGCATACTGCGCAAATGTTAAACAATAACAATTGGTATTTCTGCATTGTTTGCTTTTCTCCCACGTAACCGCTTATTTTTAAATTGAGCATAATTTTTTTATTTCTTCCGCATTGAATAATAATAACGCAACCTACAGCCATAATCACAAAAATATCTTTGACAAACAAACCGTTATGTTTACCATATACTCTATCTATGGGACTACAAGCAATAACGTTTTCTGTTGTCGCCATGCTTTGAACAATTAAAATAAGCGCATGAATGAGAAATAATATTTGTAAGAATTTTGAGTAGAAGGATAGAGTTTTGTTGTGTCTGTTGTTTCGCTGATAGCATTGGCATGGATAGATGATGATATCGCCAAAGATAATTGATAGTGTTAATGTTGGGGATATCATGCAATATATACATTCATCTGCCATAACGTTGGATTAAATTATGAAGCAAGGAAACGTGGCTCTTATACGTTTTTTGTTGGTTGCAGATGGTCGAATAGCATCATTCTGCTCGATATGGAAGAATTCAGTTTAGAATCTGGAATGCTATTTTAATAGATAATTCTTAAAGACTGATCTCATTAACGGTGACGTGCTTGACGTTAAAAGCTAATTGCTTTATACAGCCTAATAGAGCTGCTGATTTCTGTATACAAGATTCGGAAAGCTTATTATAAAAACATTATTAATAATTACTCTACCAATAGTTATACTTAACTTACTACTTATTTTATGAATTTTTTTATCTTAGCAACGTGTCCTTCATTGCGAAAAGAGAAAATGCCATCTGATTCAGAAGTAGAGATAATGAGATTTTAATGAGAGAGTAAACATTTACGTAAGAAGCGCAAATTACCTAATGGAATTTTGTTTTAATGGTAATGAAGTAAATTTCTAATGCCTTTTCAAACGATTACTAATTGAAATCAGCTTTATGTGAATCGATAAATGTTTGAAGTATGCTAAAGTAAACAGATATTTGCATGACAATGGCCTATATTCATGCAAATACAATCACTAAACTATATATAATTATTTAAATTTTTTTATTATATATAATGAAAAGTAATATNTATTTTCTTTAGAAATAAAAAATAAAAATTAATTTAGTAAATAAAACATTATCAAAAAATATTTACTAACATTCATTTTCATCAGACACTTTATTAAATATAAAGGTAAACTTATTGGCCATAAATTTATTTTTATTAAATAAAACTATCAATAATTGAGCTTATGCTATAATTATATTATTTATACCCAATTTTAAAAAATTCAGCATCAAGTTGATTAACTTTTTCGGAAACATTTTAGCGGCGCCATTTGTTATGATAATTTGCTAAATAAAGTTTTATATTTCTAATTATCATACAATAAAAAACGAAGTTACTTTTAAGGGTAAGAATGGGTTTCAACGGAAATTGTGAATAACTAGTAAAATTGTTTTTAAATCCGACCTTATTATTTTCCAACCCACTCGACTTTTAACGACCAAAATTTAATATTATGGAGCTCTTACATCATTGGTTATTATGGATGTACAGTACATATAAAGTAAAAAAGTAATGTTAGCGATGATCATCATAAGCTCGATTTTGATGGAATTGTAATCTAATTGTTTATTTGTTTATTAACTTACAGCAATGCTACACTTGGGCAATCTGCTTAGGGGATGCCTTCAGGGAATTCTTTTTAAGAGTACCTTGCCAGTATTGAGGTGTTACAGGCGTGGAGAAAATCTATAAAACGTGGCCAGCCTGTCCCGGCAAGTCGGGAACTCACGACCAAACTTTTCAGAGTTCAGGGAACAGTACGACTTGACAACTAATGGGTAATAATCCAGTTAAATATGGCCATAAAGGCTGAAATACACTTTAGAAAGTGTTAATTAAATTCGTTGTGAATATAATAACTCTTAATCATTGCAACTAGTTAAATACGTGAATTGAAAATTATTAATACAGGCAAGAATTTTTTAAATATGAATGCATATTGTCTGCTTACTGTCGAACCATAATGACAACAACATAAAAATTACCGGCAATGTCTTAGAATGGTAAATTACATTCTCAAAACGTTGCAATTCTCATAAGTTGACTGCATTTATGTCAAGTCTTTTCAATCGTATCTTTGTTTCTTGATCCTCGCCTTTTTTGATGTTTATATAGGGTCGTCGTTTTCCTTTTCTAACACGTGTCTTCCATTTCTTACCCAAATGCTCTCATTGTCCAAACTTTTCCAAGCCTCAATCAGAATTCGCTCAGTGTCTACTAGTTTTCTATATTTTCATTTTCCTAAATTCCTAAAATATCTTTTCCATCATTCCTTGACTCTTTCATAATCTTGTAATACCACTCCTTTATCATCTTTAGTCAGTTTAGTACAAATAGAATCTTTTGATGTTTCATCTCTTGTATTGGCGAATCTCATCAACCGTTTTTCACTGCCCATCCTTTTGAAATCTTTATAAGCCTTTTCTAAAGCCTCTGATTTCGCAACAGCCACCGCATTTTTAGTCGTTTTATTTTCTAAATGGCAAGTTTCTATATTTTCAGGTTTTTCCATCAAATCCTACCATTTCTTTGCCTGTTCCTTTTCTTTAACAGCGGCTTCTACCTTAGCATTCAGCCACAAAAGTTCCTTTTCTTTAATCTTCATTACTTGATGAGAGATTTCCCAGAAAAGGAAGAATTCATCAAAAAACATAAACATTATTTTTCCTATTATTTCTGCTATTATTTTTCACTGTTCTTTGTTGGTTTACAATAACAATCTTTCTCGGTTAAATTTGTACTTAGATCGGGAACAATACCGTAATACGATATCTTTTTTCTGCATCTGCGTATTTGAGCTTTGGATAGTTAATGCTTTGTCACACTTATTTTTTGTACTTCTATTTTACGTAATTATTTTCTCACTGATAAAGAAAAGGTTAATAAACATTTCTACTTAATTGCAACTTGCAATTAGCGCAACAAGATCTCTTATTGAAAATCTAACGGAAAACTTTAAAAAATTTGAGAGATTTTGGAAGAAGTGAACGAAAAATACAAAGCTTATTTTCTCTTACGTTTTTTCTGTCTACGAAAGTTGTTTCTGTACATACATTTTATTTTTAGTGCTCATTGATATGATCATTCGTATAGTGCTTGCTGTAATTACGATAACTTTATCACCTGTAACGTTAATTCTTGTAATGGCATTATCAATTTTTTTATAATCCGTAAGTATTGTTTGTATGAATAAAAACCACAAAATGAAAATTATTTAATTAATGAAAAAGCTGTCGATTGTGTACTAAATAAAAGAATGCGTTTCACATCGACGACAATTATATCAGCATTGGAAAAAATACCTGATCATTGATGCATGAATATAGATTCAAAGTATGTTCTTTTTTTTAATTTACGATAATTTTTATATAATTACATTAATAATTAAATCATTTCAGATCATTCGTTTTATAAAAGGATTTGGAAAAAGACCTTTTGGATTATCATTGTGGGGATTTTTCAATGTTAAAACAAATTTTTTGATGAAGTTAAATATGTAGGCTATGTATTAATTATTTATATACACTATCGAATAATACAATGATATACATTTGTATATTAATATAAAATCATATATAACGGTCTAATATTTAACATAATAACTAAAAACGTAAAATCTTAAATGAGAAATACCACAAATAGGAACTTTGTAATATTTACTATACTGTTCTTTAAATTATTTTTAGGTTGTCAGTGGATTGTATTCTGTATTCTCTGCTGTCATTCAATTAACTGGAATTGTTTAGAAGAAGCGATGTTCTACAAAAAGTTCAGAAAATCTCACATTTAAAAACGAAACGGTTTTTTAAATACTGATTTAAGAATATTTATTGATATTCTTTTAATGCACATTTGTTATTATTTATAAAATGCTAAAACACGCCATTTGTACTGTTACTAGTGCGGAAGGATACATATTTTAATAGCATACAGTAGTAATAATTTTCGATGGTTCGCTCGTAAACGCATTTTATAATCAACAAAGAAATAATTGTTTCTAATAACACAAGTAGAACAAAGAGAAAATACCTACAAATATTGTCTAGTAATAACTAATTGTCTTGTAATATTTAAAGAAATAAAGTGTCGATTTATTTTATACTAAGAGCCTTTTTTTAGAGTCTGTCTATAAGTTAATTGTGTTTAAATTTAATTTTAATTTATATTTTATCGATACAAATTGCATTGAAGTTAATCCCGCGTACTAACGATCGTTTTGTTATTCAAAAGAGTAAGATAAATATTAGAATTTCGAGCAAATAACGACATTGAGAATACTTTTGTGTTCCAAATATTCAGGAAATTTAAAAGTATTTGGTATCTGAAATAACTAAGATTATCGAAAATACATTTTAGTATATGAAATAATAATTTAAATACGAAATATAAAATACCAATGACAAAGTATGTGAAAATGTAAATTTGTAGAATTTTTAATAAATTATTTCGAAAGAATTCTTACTACTTCAAAAATATTTGAAATTTTACTTGATATAATAACGCAGTAGAAATATCTGTTAAGTATATATTCTATTATACATATTCACATACATTCTAGAAATTCAATGTATCTTCAAACACTAAGAAATTCTTATAATAGAATCGTTTTCTACTTCATGTTTGAATAGATAAAGGCGTTCGGATATGAACACATTTATGAGATTTCTGAAATAATTATAATTTACATAACACTTTTATCATACACGCATTGAATTGCTAATTAATGCATAAAAATAGTACATATTAATTCATATTGTAATTATAATTCATTTTTTTACGAATTAATTGGATTTAAAATTGAAAATTATAAGTTTTTAAAGTATTAATACATCGAAATAATAAAGAAAATCGCACCTGACTTCTACCTCGAATACCAAATTACTTGATACCTAATAGTTAATAATAGCAAATTTATAG